GCTGAAGGAGTTGCGGCTTCGGCCGCGGCGATGGCCGGCCCTTCGCCAATGCCTGAAGTGGCGCAGGTACAAAGTACCAGCGCCGAGAAAGTCGGGCCCGTGGCCCAAATGGAGATTGAGCTATGAGGCCTTCGGGCCCGATACTCCAATCTAACCTGAACCGCTCGGCCAGGGCGCAGGACCTGTTTGGTCAAGCCCTGGCTGAGCGGGAAGTAGGTTTGGGAGTGGTGGCGGAGCCCTATAGGGTCCCGGTCCATCCAAGTTGGATTGGTGACTCTTTGGGCTCCGTCGCTATAGTTTGGACGGGCCGCCCGGCGTCTCCGCCTTGCTCCCTCATTGAGAGCGGGCGGGGCTTTGTGGCGGCGGATTGGGGAGGCACCGTGGTGGTGGGTGTTTACGCCCCTCCGAGCTGGCCCCTCGCATCCTTTGAGGTTCTCCTGGACGAGGTCAGGCGTTGCGTTCTCCGCTGCCTGCCTTGTCCAGTCATCGTCCTGGGGGACTTCAACTCCAAGGCTACGGCCTGGGGTTCCCCCAGGACGGATCCGAGGGGCGAGACCTTGCTCGATTGGGCGGCGGGACTGGAGCTCCGTTTGTTAAATACGGGCTCCGTCCATACGTGCGTGCGGCAGCATGGAGGGTCGATTGTCGACCTCTCCTTTGCGACACCTGCTGCTGCGCGCCGTATTTCGGGGTGGAGGGTGGTGGCGGAGGTGGAGACCTTATCCGACCATCGGTATATTACGATGGTCCTCTCCGCCACTCCTCCGGACGCGACGCCCCGAGGCCGCCCGCAGGAGGGGATTACGCCGCCACCGCGGTGGTCTCTCAAGAAATTGAACAAGGACGCCCTGATGGCAGCTGCCCACGTCGTGGCCTGGCACTCTGCTTATTAGTTGACGGGCGCGAAGGGGCCCGCTGGCTTCGCCGTGCATTGACACTCATATGCGATGCGGCGATGCCAAGGGCGGGCCCCTCGTGGAGAAAGGCAGTGTACTGGTGGTCGCCCGAGATCGCTGATCTTCGCAGTGATTGTGTTCGGGCGCGCCGCCGGTACACTCGCGCCCGTCGACGGCGACGTGAATGCCCGACGCGGGTAGCAGAGCTGTATGGGCTATACCGGGAGGCGGTAAAGGCCCTGCAGCTCGCCATCAAGAAGGCCAAGGCCCAGGCATGGCAGGAGCTCCTCCGGAGTCTGGAGGAAGATCCGTGGGGGCGCCCGTATAAGATGGTGATGGGTCGATTACGACCTTGGGCGCCCCCCGTGACGGAGACTCTCGATCCCCAGTTCCTCCGCCGCGTCGTTGATACCCTCTTCCCCCTTTCAGGGGTCATGGAGGGTCACGCGGCGGAGACGTCGGACGTTATAGACTGGTCCGACGATCTGGGGGTCAAGGATGAGGAGCTCGCTGCGGCGCTGAAACGGCTGGGGGAACGTGATACTGCCCCCGGCCCGGACGGTGTCCCCGGCAAAGCCTGGGTTTTGGCCTCGGGCGTCC